TAATACCCATCACATATTTTGCAAAAGTAATGAAATCGAGGTAATAAAAAACTCTTAAGAAAGCCCAACTTTTAAAGTCTTGCTGACAAGAAGAATTGATACTCTGTGTTTCTGGTTGGATTATTCAATTTGACATATTGGCTGAATGTAGTAAAATTTCTTTTAATTTTATTTAAAACACAAAGTTTTAAATGATCAATGATCTACGAGCACAATTTTTTCCTTTAATTTCAGTGTCTGAGAGCTCATATTCCCCCACTAACTCCCTTATATAACATTTTTCCTAGCAAAACGGGAAAATATGTATTCATATTATCAGCTGTCAGAGCAACAGAATTCTCTACAATGAATTAATTTCATATTATTTACAAAAGAAAAGAATTACATCAAAAGAAGTAAGATAAGAATAATAACATGAACCAGAATATTTCTTCTTGTGGAAAATAAAAATGGAAAAGTCATATCAATTCCATTAGTAAATTGTCAATTAAAGGATAGATTTGGGAAAGAATATCTTCTAAAGGCTAAATGGACTTAAAAAGTTAGAAGAGTTAGGCAGTGGAGATTATAATAGTCAAGAGACATCTTTGTTTCACTTTTAAGCTTTTTTACAGAATATGTAAAGAGCTGTAAAAATGAAAGTACTGTAATACTGAAGGTCAATTTTAGTCAAAGTAGGAAAAGGAGATTCAGAGTTAAGCTAAAATTTCCTATCTTGATGTCATCTGCATTCTTTCCTAACGTTAAATGTATTAATTTAAATTCATTATCATCAGAATTCAGATTATAAAAATGTATGGATGTAAAAGTGTTAAAAGCAGCTGGATTCAGACACCAATATTTCCCTTCTTATTTCAAAAACAATTTTCAAATTTCTAATGCCATCTCCCAGGTGCTTCCTGCCTGTTGCGAAGAACGTTCTATTTAGGGACGACAGGGGACAATCCATTTCACCTCCGTTCTTCCTGCTGGCTTCCAATGTTACAGGGAAATTAAGAGTTTGAAATGAAGAGTTTTGATTAGACAAGCTTTCTATGCCTGTTGGTTTATTTCCTTTATTTTAAGGCATAAGTCTTTGTATGATAATGGAGTAGTTTGCAAAGCTACAGAGATTCAGACCTTAAATGGAAATTTCATTTATGTTTACTTTAGGGTTTATTTGTTTTTTGACACCTAGATTCTATTCTGATGTGACTGCCTTTATCTAAGAGGAGTTTTGAGGGTGAGGAAGCTGAGTTTTGAAAGAGCCATTTTCTAAACAGTAAAATAAAATACTTGTCAAAGTCCTGTAATTCCCAAAGAGTTTGCTATAATCTAAAAGATATTATATGTGCTACTCTGATCACTTATTAAGCAATTTAATAGCAACTTGAGCCTATAGTTTTTTTGCAACTTGACTTGTATCTTGGTCTCTGGTTATAGTTTGGTTTCATCTGTAATAGGTGTTAAACTAAAAAACTTAAAAATAAGAAATGAAGTTGTTTCTGAATAGGTAGAAGGCTTTAAGCATTTGGAGTCATAAGCAGAGGAGGGAGGATCTAGATACACAGTTGGTTCACTGTGGTAACAACCACCGGCATAGTTAATTCCCTCTCCAGAACCACCTTTTCAGTTGCAGAAAATCAATTCCTTTGTCCCTAAAACTGAACACCCCTCTGGTATCATGAGAGGTGGTATATACCAAAAGAAACAAACACAAAAAGAAGCAGGAGAGAAAGGTAGGAGAAGAGGGTAGAGGGGGGGATGACAGGGGGATGACAGGGAGTTGGAGAAGGAGGAACTTTTTACTACAGTTGTGCTCAATTGATGTCTTTTGAACAGAACTAATTGAAGATGATATTATTAAACATTAAATTTAGTTTTTTCAGTTCTGCCCCAGGATTTCTATCTGGAGTTGCCGGCAAAGCATGAAGCCATGTGCCTGCCTCTTAGCTCTGAATGTCTCTGATCATGCGGCTCTAAGGATCTCCAGGCTGCTGGGCTCAGCCTCTTGCTGGTTCTAAACGCCGGCCCAGCACTTAGCACTCCAGAGACATTCTTCCTGGAATGAAGATTTAACTTGCAGGTCATTTAATTAGCAAAGGAGCAAGCTTATTTGGTCTCAATTCTAATTATGCTATTTAAAAACGAATAGTATTTTAAGAAAAACCTCAATTATACTTACAACTTATAAGATAGTAACTTATTTAAGACTGAAATATTAATTAGTGCACCTTTTTTGGAATATGGTTTGGAAATACTTAAAATGTTAATACATGGCCCTGGCCGGGGAGCTCAATTGGTTAGAGCATCACCCCGATATGCCAAGGTTGTGGGTTCGATCCCATCAGGGCACATACAAGAATCAACCAATGAATGCAAAAATAAGTGGAATAACAAACAAATCAGTGTTTCTCTTCCTCTCAAATCAATAAATAAAAAATAATGCTAATGCACATATTCTTTGACCCTAAAATTCCACTGCTAGAAATTTATTCAACATATATATCTCCAGAAACACATTAGTATAGAGGTGTTTCCTGCATTGTTGTTTGTAATAGCAAAAAGCTGGGAAGAACTGGTAAGGGGATTGATTCAATGAATAGTGGTGCATTTTATACCATGGAATATTGTGCAAATGTGTATGAATGAGGTTGAGCTTTTTGTTACCATAAGGTATATTACGCTATGTAGATATAGAGAGATTCTCAAATGTTAAATTAAAAAAGCAAATTGCAGAGCAGAATGTAGAATACTATCTGTGTGTGCTTTTTAAAAACAATTTAAATATATGCTTATCTTGCATTAAAAATCTCTGGGAGAAAAGACAAAGGATTTTTTAACAACAATCACCTCTGGAGAGTGGGAAAGGTTGGCCATTTTATTTTCCACTTCATAGCCTTCTGAACTGAGTAGATTTCTAACCATGGTAATAACCATGTCATTACTTTTAGATGAATTGAAAACTAGCTCATAATAGAAGGTTATATTACACGTACATGAACAACAGCAGAACGGACGCTCTTTTCAGAGCCAATTGGTGGACGCCTCTCTGCCTAGCCACATCCTCATCTGCCTCAGGGTCCCTCAGGCTACGCGAACAGATGTTAACCCATTCCATGCACAGCAAAATGGTAAACACAGCTGTTTACTCTCAACACTCCATTCGTCCGGTGTGCTTTCAATTTTAAACACGTTGACCTCGCCAGTTGCTAAACATCTCCTTTCTTCCCAGTCTACCTTGCAGGAGGTCCGGAGCCCCGAGCGGAGCGGCTGGTGCGTGTCTGGGAGGAGCTGCCCGGCCCCAGGGCGAACGGGCTCCACACTCAGGCAGCTGCACACAAACAGCTTTTTCTGCATCGCCCCCGGCGCCACGGTCACCTCCCTGTCGACCGCCCGAGCGCACGTCCTCGACCTGCGAGCCAGCCCGTGTAGGAACTCGGTTTGAAAATTCCCAAGTAGGAAGAACGGAAACTGGTATGGGATTCCTCCTCCCGCAGACAGGCACTTTCTTCTTAAATTCTGTGGGGTTTTTTTTTTCAATTCTACTTCTGTCTTTTTCATTCTCCCTTAACTGGTTCCTAGAAACATCTGCCTGTTTCTCTTCTGGTCTCGGATACGTAAATCAAAGTCACTCCTTTCCCGTCTCGCTGGGTCGGGTGTTGACCTCCTTTATTAACCATGAACGTTCTCTCTTCCCGTGCTTCATTTTTAAATGATTTTGAAGAAGTTGGGCTTGAAAGTCCACAGCTTAAATATTTCTTCCAAATCTAAAATTTTCCTCCTCTAAAAATTATGTTTCAAGAAAGCATTTTTTTTTTAATAGTCATTTTGCTCCAAGAGTAGTATTCTGAGCCTGAACTACAGTGCCAACAAGCACGGGCTTGTTACCCAGCCACAGTTTAAGGGAGAAGCCAGTAAGTTTAAAGAAAAGTTAACTCATCATATTACCAGGTACTATCTCTCATTTCTTCACTATCTCTAATGTGCTCTTCAAATATGTATAATAATATTAATGAAGAAAAGGACTGTGATTTTCATGTGTAAATTGGGAAGCTAACTTTTCTAGAGTCCGTTTCTCCCAAACATTGCTCTGCCTCCCTCCAGGAAAAAGCAATCAAATCTCCAGGTTAACCTCAAAGTAGCCCCCGCGTTACTGGGTTGAGAAATGTTATTTAGAAAATAAGGAGAAATACGCATTTTTCTAAAAGTTTGGGGGCTAGTCTAGTGTCAGTAGCTAAAACTGTATTTTACTGTATCCGTAACTCTTAAAAGTCCAGATACTTATTTTTGCCATAAATCCATATTAACAATCCAGTACTTTGTCAACTTTCTCAGTTTGGGCACTAATGGAAGGTGCTATTAACAGCCCTCAGAACTGAAGTTCCTTTACTTCTTCTGCCACTTGAGAAAAAGTTCTGCCTCAAAATTGTAATAACACTAAGTTCCTACAAATCAACTTGGAGATATCCAAATGTGTGTTTCCTACAAAAAGCACCAAACATCAGTTTTATCTGGCAAACATCAAAGTATCTCAGACCACAGAACTATACATTTCTGGACCTCACAGGAAGCACGGCCAGGACCTTCAGCCAGCCAACCAAAGGTCTCAGCTGCCACTCCATCGCAACTCAGCAAGGCAGCAATACGAAAATTAACCACTGCTACCAAGACAGGACAGGCACCCCCCCCCCCCCCCCAAAGGAATGGACAGAAATTTCAAACCCACCTTCTCAATTTCTGGTGGTTTTTGTTGTGTGGTTGTTAATCCTCGCCCGAGGATATTTTTCCATTGATTTTTAGAGAGAGTGGAAGGGAGAGGGAAAGACAGAGGCAAACATCAATGTGAGAGAAACACATCTATTGGTTCCCTGCATGGCCTTGATGAGAATTGAACCTGAGACCCTTGGGTCCGCAGGCTGACACTCTATCCATTGAGCCAAACCAGCTAGGGCTCAATTTCTGGTTTTCGATTACATAGGATTATTCAACCCACCATCAACACTAAACTCACACAAAAATAACCAGAACGCCCAAGTAAATGGGTTTTTTATTTGCACATTCTATGTGATTTTATGTAAAAACAAATGACAGAAAACTTGAAATTTTTAGGTAAAAGCACCATGTCCTAGAATGTCACAGTTGGTATAAATTCTGGAACTGGAGTATGATACAATTGATGTACATAAGGACCTTGAAACAGGAAGTGCCTTTGGGATCTATCAGTCATTTATGCAACTCCTAAAATGAAAAACGAAGTGAGGATTACAAGGCATTTCCTGCAGAGAATTCCCAGTCTAGCTAAAAAGATAACACTGTGTAAGTTTTTAAAAAGTGTAGGATTGGCAGATGAAGAGGAGCAAGGGATGGTGGCTATTGGTTGTCTTTCCATAGTGCTTGATATTTAAACCATCCTTACATGTATGACTTTGAAAAAAGTTTGAGTCAAATAACGATTTCAATGGAAAGGGAGGGAAGGGACAGACATGACAAGAAATAGGAAGAATTCTGCTCTGGAACTGGGTGCATGTGGATCCCTCCCTCTGCTTTCTGTCCAGGATCTATCAACAGTTCACTCCGTCCCAGAACCTCCCACAAATTCTTCCTCCTCACCTTCCTTCCCACTCCTGCTTTAGGCTGCAGTAACCTCCTCACAATCACCTTCCTCTGGTGCATAAGTTCTGACCTTTTATGACCCCTTTGGCAGTCAAGGTGAAGACTATGGACCCGTTCTCAGGATACTGTGTTTAAATCATATAATTAAATATAGAGATCACAAAAGATGAATTCTAAAATGCACATATAACATCATTTTTAAGTTGCGGTGTAATAATACATGTACTCCTTTATTAATTCATTAAATAGTAAGATATAGCCCAGGGTCTAATGGCTATAGTAATTTGGGTTTAGTGAAACATGTAAAGCATATTTTGAGATATCTGCAATAACTATACAATGATACCAAAATACCTGACTTCTACTGGTGATAAACTCACTACTTCTGCTAATTCTACTGTGATCTGCTGCCTAGATATATTTGAAGAATATGCTCAATTTCAGTTAAGAGTTTAGTGACAATAACAATGTAATTTTTTCCTATCCAAGTTCTTGGATCCCAAGCATACCAACCATGGACCTCTTGCAAGTCCTAGGACTGGGTAAGAAGCTCTGCTCTGGGTCCTGGCTCTCCAGACCAGCCTCCCACCTTGCCACCAAATCTGATGCTGTCATCCTTCTGCTCAAAAAGTCTTCACTAGGGCCCTGACCGGTTTGGCCCCATGGATAGAGCATCGGCCTGCGGACTCAAGGGTCCCAGGTTCAATTCCGGTCAAGGGCATGTACCTTGGTTGCGGGCACATACCCAGTGGGGAGTGTGCAGGAGGCAGCTGATCGATGTTTCTGGCTCTCTATCCCTCTCCCTTCCTCTCTGTAAAAATCAATAAAATATATTTAAAAAAAAAAAAAGTCTTCACTGGGCCCCTTACTTCCCAGGTGGCATACAAACTTCTGAAAAGCAGGCAAAGCCCTTGGTGCTCTGGTCTCTGCTCACCAACTCAAGCTTATTCTCCACTCCCCAACTACTAGTTTCCTATTTTGCATTAGAAGCCCCACACAATAGGAGAACTTTGTTCTCTCACAGCTCCGTGTCCTCTTGGCTTGGAACTCCCTCACCCTGCTTATTGGTCAGGCCAACTCCTTATCTTTTTTTTTAATCCTCACCCATAATTTATATATTTTTTCTATTGATTTTAGAGGGAAAAGAAGAGAGAGAAAGAATGCAACATTGATCGGTTGCCTCCCTACCTGGGAATTGAAACCGCAACCTAGGTGTGCCCTGACCAGGAGTGGAACCTGTAACCTTTTGTCTGTTTTGGTGTACAGGATGAGGCTTAATCAACTGAGCCACCTGGATGAGCAGGCCAACTCCTTTTCTTTAAGTACCAGCCCAAAGCCGCCTCCACTCTGAGGCCTTACCTGACCCCTTCAGGCAGCTACAAGTGTTTCATCTCTGCTTCCCCTGCTCTTTGTATATACAGTGGGGCCTTGACTTACGAGTTTAATTCGTTCCGTGACAGAGCTTGTAACTCAAATTACTCGTATGTCAAATCAAAAAGTGAATGAGTGAGACACGTGATGCTGGGCTGATGTGGCGTTCACTGTGACGTTCGCTGCTCCAACTAGCGGTGGGGTATCTGAAGCTGGCTCGTAACCCGAATTTTAGCTCGCAACTCAAAGCAAAAAATCGGCCGAGAGACGGCTCGTATCTCGAAAAACTCGTTAGTCGGGACACTCGTAAGTCAAGGCCCCGCTGTACCTCATTATATTATCTTATTGTATAGATGGCCCTTGAACAACATGGGGGTTACAGGCACCGACTCTCCTACCCCGACACAGTCGAAAATCCACATATGACTTTTGACTCCCCTAAAACTTAAGTACTAACATCCTACTGTTGACTGGAAGCCTTACCAATAACAAAAACAGTTGATTAACACTTATTTTGTATGTTATATATATTATATGCTGTATTTCTTACAATAAAGGAAGCTAGAGAAAATGTTATTGAGAAAATGCATTTACAGTATTTATTGAAAAAAAATCCCCGTATAAGCGGACCCAAACACTTGTTGTTCAAGAGTCGGCTGGTACTATAACTGCTGGTAAGTGTGTCTCCCCCACTACCCAGGA